GAGCTTTTTCATTCCATTTAAACATCCCTTTCTTAGTCAAGTCAGTCAGAGGCTTAGCTTTAATTCCATATTGGTAGCAGAATTTCCTGAAATACCTGGTCATGCCAAGAAATCCTCTTAAAGCTCTGAGAGTGGATGGTATTGGTCAGTCAACAATACTTTTGATCTTTTCAGGATTTACAACAACTCCAGATGAACTGATGATGTGTCCCAAATATTCTACTTGTGAAACTCCAAATGTACACTTGGATCTTTTAGCAAATAGAGTATGTTGTTGTAATAACATGAAACCCTCTCTCAAATGTTGTTTATGTGTCTCCTTATCAGGACTCTAGATCAATATATCATCAAAAAAGACTAGAACAAATTGTTTCACGCAATTTCTGAACACATTATTCATTAGAGCCTGAAATGTAGTTGGAGCATTTGTTAATCCAAAGGGCATAACTGTAAATTCATACAGTCCACTAGCAGTGTCGAAAGCAGTTTTCTCAATGTCTTCTTGCTTCATCCTGACTTGATGGTATCCAGCCCTTTAGTCAATCTTGGAATAGATTGATGCTCCATGTAGCTCATCCAACAAATCATCTATAAAAGGAATGGGATAGTTGTTTTTTATGGTCACATAGTTGAGCTTTCTATAATCAACACAAAAGCGCCAAGTCCCGTCTTTCTTTTTCACTAGTAATACAGGACTGGAATAGGGGCTATGGTTGTGTTGAATAATTCCAGATTTGAGCATCTCTTTTATCAGTCTCTCTATTTCTTGTCTTTGCAGGTAGGGGTATCTGTATGGAGCTTGCTTGAAAGGTTTTCCCCCTGATTTGATATCAATCTGATGTTCACAGTTTCTCAGGGGAGGTAGTTCCTTAGGTTCTTGAAAAACTATGTGAAATTCCTCAAGCAGTTCTTCTAGTTCTGCAACTTTATCTTCCTTTGCATCTTCTTGTACTGAGGTAACCATGCATAAGTATCTAGACACCACACTATTCTTCTTGTGCCATAATCCTTTCATCTTCTTTATTAATATCATTTTCACTGAAATTTCTGTTTGTATCCCTGGAACTACCACTTTCTTTCCTTGATGATCAAAAGTAATGGAATGATTGTCATAGTCAAGCATGATTGGCCCCAGCTTCTTCATTAAGTCTACCCCCATAACCATATCATATCCCCCTAGTGGCATTATCCTCAAAGTAGCTGAAAAATGTATCCCGCCATTTCCCATTCAAAATTAGGACATTTAGAGTTACACTCTATTTTACCTCCTGCCACAATCACTTGTAATGGATTGGTCACTTCAATATTACAATTGAGTTTCCTTGATGCTCCTGGATCAATGAAACTGTGGGTGCTTCCTGAGTCCACCAGTATAGTTAAGTGATTGTTCTTCACTTTCCCCTTCAATTTAATGGTGTCAGTGGGCACTTGTCCTTTTAATGCATGTAAAGATACCCCATAGTCTGTTTCTTCTTCTACGAATTGATTCAGTAGCTGGTTCTTTTTCTTCCTCAGATAATTGTATAACAAAAAGCTTTTTACATTTGTGCCCAATGGTATATGCTTCATCACAATTAAAGTAGTCCCTTTTTTCTTCTTGCATCCATTTCCTCCTTACTCAATCTTCTCACCAGCAGAGACTTTTCAACAATATTCACCCCTTTGATCTCATTTACTCCTTTTCCCCACATAGTCTTCTGATTTCCCCTTCCTGTTTTTCCCATGGCTTCCAACAAAGATTCTTGTTTTTTAGCAATCAAAAAGGCTTGATCTAATGTCTCAGGGGATATGATTTCAATCATGTGTCTAATCTCTTCTTTCAATCCACTTAAGAAACTTTTAAGAAAATAATATTCATCCAGATGTTTGTTTCTTTGCAGCATAAAGGATTTGAGTTCTGCAAACTTATCTATATACTCATCCACCTGACCTTTTTGTCTCAATTTGTTAAATTCTCCAATCACCTCCTTCTCCTTTGAGAAATTTTCTAAAAATAGTATATCAAAGGCCTCCCATCCCATAGATTCTCTTCCAACAATCCTATCCATATACCAATTTTCTACAGCCCCTTCTACATACATCCCAGCCAATACAATCTTATCAAAATCAGACATGTGATTGATTAGAAAGTATCGCTGACACCTCCTAACCCAGGCTCTGGCATTAACTCCATCAAAACGAGGGAAGTCAAGCTTAATACCTTTATAGCTGCCCGGATTTGTAGAAATCAGTCCAGAATCATGACTTCTGTGAGAGTGAACGCTCTTCATAGGTGTTCTGTTGTGGACTTGTGGATGCCCTTAACAGCGTTCATTATTTCTTCGAACTGCTTATCTTGTTTTTCCATCATCTGCGCAGCATCGGCCTTCTGCGATTCATGGATTTTTTCGAGTTCCATCTTCAAATTTGCTGGGCCTGCTTCTAATTGAGTAATGTGATCAATATTACTTTGTTTCGCCATGTCTGGATCAGTCTGTGATACCAATTGTTGTGAATAATTAAGTATGAAGCTCAATTCACAACATTAATGGAGGAAGAAGAATACGAGTAGCAGAAAGAAGAGAAAAAGAGATTGATCAATTTTCATTATTCCAGTAGACTGTACATCCTTTTCTATTTATAGGCACCATCCGTTCAGTTAGTTAGCTACAAACACATAACAATCTAACTAACATTTATTCATCCAACGAATTATAACAACTAACAGTCCTGCCAGCTGGTTATTTCCTCCCTTTAGTTAGCCACGTAGCTATCTTCTTGCCAGTTAGGAATAATGAAGCTTTAGTCTCGACACAAATAAGAAAAAACATAGAAGATGAAGAAGACTACAAGAGGAGAAATTTCACGAAGGAACATTGACCAGTTTCTTGATTTCCTTGGTTGTGCTTATTCTTATGGTTGCGATTTTTACTCAATCTTTACTTCAGTCGTGGTCGTAAAACAGTTTACCGAGTCTATTGAAATTCAGGGTAAGTTTGATAAGAAAAATTTGGGTCCATCAAACAAGGCTCGCCCGGTTCATAATGACGGGATCCTCCCCTACGACCTAGGATTTCAGAGAAGTTCTTCTCCTCCGATGGCTTTGACGGGCAACGGTTGCACACAATCCACCTGCAACAGATAAGTTCTTCACCTTGATCATTGAAATTATGCCACATCGCTAACGTAATTGACCAGAGATTCAAAACCCACTGCTCCATTTCCACCAGCGACGAAAGGGTGTTTTCAATCTCTGCGTGCGTGGTATGTGAGTCTGCCTTGAGATTCACCTCCCACTCCTACACGGACATCGGAGATGGCCAGAAGCAGAGATTCAATTCATATTCCTAAAATGACAAAGTCGGTGACTTGATTTTGAATTATGTTTTGGGGTACAAGAGTTTTGAATTATGAAATGAACGACAATGGAGATAACAGATATGATTGGATTCAATAGCTATTGCAACAACTTCTACCCTGGATTTCTATGTGTTTGGTTTGTAGCTTTAAATTGGAAGAGACAAAGGATTGTTAATGTTGGGATGGTCTGTTAAAGCAAATGTTAGTGAGTGGCTAAATGTAGCTTCAATAAGTTATTTATGTGTTAATTTGGTCCACTAGAAAATTTAGTATCCAATCTGAACATTCTAAATAACCTTAGTGTCTTTTTTAGCCTTCTCCCCTTTGATAAAATTCACATGGTGTTGAGGGATATTATGTATTATGTACTACGTATCATGTAGACAGAACACATATTAGGAACCATATATGTAGTATGTACTCTGAAAATGATACTACCTCCGTCCCATAAAATTTTTCCCACTTTGACTTGGCACGAAGATTAAGAAAGTGGAATAAAGTAGAAATGTATGATTGTGGTTGTGTAAGAAAATAGTGAAATGAATGTGAACCACACAAATTGTCCAAAAATGGTAAGTGAAGATAATTTTTTGGGACGGCCCAAAAAGGAAAGTGAGAAGAATTTTATGGAACGGAGGAAGTACATTTCCTGCCCATATTGAGCTACCTTGTAAACCCTAAGCGCTCTCTATTTAAAAGGTGCTTGGTAATGAAGTTATGACACTTCTCTCTCAACACATCGCTTATTATTAACGGCTAATGTATTGGTAAATCATGGTTATATATCATCTCAACGTATTAGCAATAATAAAACAGTTTATATATGTGCATGAGTGCATCATTATCATGAGTTGGCTATATATGAAATCAAACTATCAGGTAGTGAGGATTGGTTGCAGAAACCGAGCTTTGGTTCCAAGAACTCGCGCTTTGGTGTCTGGGAAATATTCCACACCAGGACGAGCTTGAATATTTCCATTTTCTGAAACTTGTACAGGGTAGGTAAGAAGATGGCCTGGAAGATCTTGTTGAAGCTCTTCACTTATATACGATCTCCAATTCTCCTCGGCTATTTCATTTACTCTCCTAACACATTCTACGCTCTCAGGGTGGTAAAAGGAGTTCTCCATTTTGTTCATGTGCTCACCCCACAAGGTCATTCTGAAACCGAATATCTTCCCCATGGCGCGTTGGTTGCCGTGTGCTAGGTGCATTGGTTGGTACCCTCCCATCGCAATTTCCGAGTCCCGTGCACCATCCATTGAACGCTGGTTGATGTTTGCTGACCCAATTATTATGTACTCATCATCAACTAGCCAACAAAACATCATTGACATGTTTAGTAACAACACCAACACATAAATGTCATGAATAACATGCACTTAGCCACTTACGAGACTTTCTTCACAGTTCAAAAGGCATATGAAAATTCACACCGACCATAATAGAACTTATAGAAGACTTTTTTTTGGACAATTCTTTCTAACATATTATAGTATACTTCGTTCTATTAGAAGATTCTTTAATACAGAGTATTAAATACTACTAAAACCAATTTAATTTTGAAATATAATCAACCAACTCTACTAAAAACAAAGTGGAAACAATTAGAGAGGAAGTATAAATAAGTGTGGGTATATTATAGCATGATGTAGAGTGACTCACCAATCATCATTTTGGAGTGCACATATATCATGAAGCGCCGGGATTCTTGAGCTCTGGCGTAATCGGAGCCGGGGCTGGGCTTTTCCCGAGGTGTAATCTCATCGGAGCCTTTGACTTCGCGATTCCCGAGGCAAAAGAACGTCAAGTATTCTCTCGGGTCCGCAGAAAGGTTGGCAGTCTTTAAAGCATTAGCTATATCCACATACATCATCTCCATCGTCCTCCTCTGCCAATCAAGAATCGCCTGCACTGACTCGCTCCCCGGCTCTCCCTCCGGCCACATCGGGATCACGACGTACACGGTGAACCTCTCCCCCGCCGCAATCTTGCTGACAATTTTCAAAGAGAGCTCCTTGGGGATCAGGTGAATGGCGCCAATGTCATCCAGTTTGATCCCTGATCTATCATTCCAGCCATATGAGCTTCCCAGGAAGTACTGGTTTTCGATGTAAATGAAGTTCTTGGCCCGGCGGATGGCGTTTATGTACGCATCCTGAATGCTCCGATCAATAATATGGGTTTTACCCGTTACCAACCCCCATTTTTTTGCCGTTTCCGGGTCCCTCGGAAAACCTGCCGCATCATTCCCATCAATAGAACGGAAGATCTGAACCTTCCACCTCTCTGGATCAGCCGACACAGGTAAATCATTTGGTACAATAATGTTCCGACCCTCGAGTTCCTTCTTGGAGAAAACGGCGGTCCGGCCTTTGTGTGCCCTCCATCTCTGTTCAAAATTGAAGAGGACATCCCATGAAGCTTGCCCATCCAGCCTGCAATGGATGTCGTGCCATGGCTCCCTCGGCCCGCCTTTCGCGAAAGACGCGCCGGGAAAATTCGGCTGGTGGAAATCCTCCTTGTCTAATTTCTTGAACACAGAATGCTCCCTGGTGTCATACCGGCCGTCACAGAGATCGATCCCGCCGAGGAAGCTCACAATCGATCGTTTCCCGGCAGAACCGCCCTGAAGCTCGCAATCTGCAATCACCGTCTTCTGATGGTGAGTGAATAGCGTTGTCCTCGTAGTAGCCTCGATGTCCTGGAGAAGCTCGCTGCCGGCATCGGCATTCCGGGGGGACAGAACACATTGGACAGCTGAATTGGCGAAGAATTTGGCGGTATCTTCGTCATGAGTTGCCATCACACCGACTCTGTGGATATACTCGCTGGATGTTCTGTCGTCCCAAACCAGGAGAAGAACCCTAACGCCTTCAGCGGCTTTCTTCTTCAGCAGATCGCCGAGAATCATGTCCTGGCCGGCGAGAAGTTGAGATCTGGCCGGGTCGGGTCTAACCAGCCTGATTTTGACGTAAATGGACCAACCCGCTATGTAAATAAAGTGTTTGGCGTTAACGATGGCGTGGGAAATGTCTTCCCAGCACCTCGGGGCGGGTTGAACCCATTGAATCGGGCGATTGTGAAAAGGGGTAAAAACAGAGAAATTGACGTCATCGTAATGCGGGACATGGGCGTCGGCGTAAAGGGTGACTCTGCAATTGTCTCTCTGGGCAAAATAGGTGTTGGGTACGCCCCGGAAGTCATAATCGGGTCGGATTTGAATCCCTTTAGACCAGTGCTCATCTCTTTCCACGCTGAAGAACCGGAATTTAACGTGGATCATAGCTTTGCCCGGGATGCGACGGCCGTTTTTATCGAGTATGGGGATTGACCTGTCAATCTCCTTCTCCGCCGCATTTGTGTCCAAGAGTTCCCCCACCGGGAGGTGGGCTCGGCCGATGAGCGATGCATCGACGGCGTCGTCGAATTTGACTGTGAAAATGACGTTGGAAATTTTGTGGGCACAATAGATGTCAAAATTTTCATTCCATTTCGGGCCGGAAGTCTTGCTATCAGTAGCACTGATGACTTGGGTTCGCCCTACTCTCGCCGTGTCCAGATCGATGGTCGCATAGATGCCATTTATCTGATGAAGTAAATTTAACCAGGCAATAAAAATACTCCATTAATGATGATGATGAATGGTGATATCATGTTAATGATATGAAGAACAAAATTTACTGGGTCTATTGTAAGCCAATTTTAGTTGTGTTTAGAAAGAAAATAATTTAAATACCCCAATATTTCAATGAGTTCTAAGATAAGTATTCCAAATTTGCACATATTCTGCACTTTATATAAAATGTTATTTTCGATCTATGTTTTTTACAAATACAAATTTATGGGAATAATTACCTGACTTAAAATAATCTACTAATAAAAGATATTTTGAAGTTGTAATAATCAAAATATTTAAGTTTGAAGTTGTTTTAAATTTAATTGGTCGAAGTTATTGTAAATGATCATTTTAGAAGTTTTTTTATATACTTCATCTGTCCCGTTAAGATTGTCTCATTTTACTTTTTCGGGAAATCCCACTAAGATTGTCTCATACCATATTTGGTAAAGTTTGTGTGACTCATAATCATTATTACTTTATCAATTCAACATCAACCACATAAACCCACTTTTCTTAATAACTGTGTCACCTTCTTCCGTCCCAATGTTAGTGGGACGGAGGTAGTAATATTTTTCTTTATTCTATTAATAAAAGATATTTTAAACATGTTTTTTATAATTCAGCACATTCAGCCATTTTAGCCAAAATTTAATCAATTTCAATAGAATCGGTCTCATAATGTGAGAATGTATGCATTATACTTAGCTTGAAAGGAACAATCATTAGAATCAAAATGAATATAATAAAATAAATGAGCTAAAGAAGAAAATTTATATTTGGCATTTAGCGGATTATGTTAGTAGGTTGTGAATAGCAGATTCAGTCAGCGGGTTTGACTAGTGGAAAATGTTTGGTAATTTAGATGTTTGATAATTTAGATGTTTGGTCATAAAATTAGTAGAAAATTAGTAAAATTAGTAGATGTTTGATATTTCAAAAAGCTGACCCAAAAGTCTCATATTTTCAACGTTCCCATTACAATGTTTCCATCCAAAAACGCTAGTACAGAACGTCTATTCACCAAATAGCTTTTTCACTATTGAAAACGTTAAAATTGGTTAAATCGTCATTTTTCTAAATCTCATTTACCAAACATTCCCATAGTCAAACCATCTTCATATGTGAAATGAGCCGTTTCAAAAATTAGAGAAGTGTCCGATTGTAAAATTACATGCGATTGCATACATGGTAATGAGTGAAACGGGATCATGAATTGAAGCTAAATGAGTGGAAAATTACATGCGCAATGTGCTAAGTGCTAACTATGAAACACTAATTCCAAAAAAAAAAACTATGAAAACACTAAAAATGGACACCAACTTTAGAATTACTTTGACCATATTTTTTAATACGAAAATATTTTGAATATGAAAATTATATCCAAATGTTTCTTATTCAAAATGTTTTCAAAAAGTTATAAAATTTATAAATTATATACAAATATAATAGTTAAAATCATTGTCCAAAGTTTGTCATCATTGATCTAAAAAATTCAATATGGCGTACATTTTCGGGACGGAGAGAGTAATAACTTTGCTTTGAAAATTTAGAAAACACGTTTCATTCATAATTTAGACTAGGAGACATAAACACTTTGCGATTTTAAATTTTTAACCACTTTGAAAATGTCACGACTATCCATATTTTTCGTTCACGTTTTTAAGCAGTTGACAACTGGCATTAAGTAGAAATATAACTGCAAAGCCATTATCAAGATTTAAACTTGTGGTATTTTCATTTTACCCATCCAAAGTTGTTGCTCGTAAATTAAAACATTATTATGTACTTAAGTTTGGTTCAATTCTTTAATGGGTTAATTATCAAAATAGAATTAAAAGTCACTCACTTTGTACCAATAGGACCAAAAAATAAACTATGTTTTCATAGGCCTAATTATGTGTGTCTTGGACAAATAGCTATTGAAATGTTTTAATTCATAATAAAATAATAAAAACTAATAATAATTCGTAAAAATACTAAAAATTAATAAAAATATTTCGATAATAATGATTTATTTTTTTAATTTTTTTTCAAAAAAAAAAATTAAAAAAACTCAAAAAAAATAAATAAAATTCACCGCCGCCTCTGCTGCCTCTGCACCACCACCTCCGGTCACCAGGGGGAAAAATGACAAGTTCATTACGAATTCCATATTTATGGCAAAAAACAATGAAAATGTTGGCATTCTCAAAGAGAAATATGCCATATTTTTGTCATTTTCAGAAAAAAAAAATGACAATTTTTAGAAAAAATGGCATTTTTTCACCGGGCGGAGATGGTGGTGCAGGGAGGTAGTACAGGCGGCGGGAAAGGCATCCATATTTTTTTAATTTTTTTAATGGTGTTTTACTATTTTTTATTAGTTTTCAAAAAAAATAAAAAAATTAGAAAAAAATATTTTTTATTTTGTAAATATTTTATAAATTTTTTAATTATTCTTCTACGAATTTTTGAATTTTTTCTAATTTATTATGAATAAACATTTAATTAACTCATATTTAAAGGAAGGGTAAGAATGGAATGAAAAAATATGTATGTTTCCAATAGGACTAATATAATCTTATTTTGAAAAGAAAAACATAGTAAGTCATATTTTGAGTTGTTGTCGTAGTTTTAGTCCTATTCGAAGATGTTTGTATTCTTTAATTCTTTCACCTCTAAAGCAATACGGAGTATGGAATATCAATATAATTCAAGAATAACAATGATGAATAAAAGGCTCCATAGGTAATATATATACGAATGGTATAAACTTATAGCTAGAGAAAGGGTATGTACACATACCTCAGAGCGGCATAATATGAATCTCTTGATTATGTTTAGAACGTATGCGCTCCACGGTTGAGCAGAAGAACTCTTCAAATTTCCAAGAAAGAAACAAGTCAATCTCGACATTCACGCAATATAATACTGGAAAACATATACTCGGTATGAATAATGTCATAAGATCGTATAAATACGGCCGGAGTATCATGCGAAATGGCAGAAGGAGGCGATTAATTACCTGGGCAGCTGAGCCGCCGCTGCCGCCGCCGCCGCTGCAACCACAGGAACCACTCGAAATCTTCCTATCAACCCCATACACCGTCGCAACCAGCTTTCCGTGCAGCAATTGCGGCTGCATCATGGCCGGTCGCACGATGAATAATATATCTACGACTTGAATTGCTTACGTTAATAATTTACGTGCAAAAGCAGCGAATCTGAACTTTTGGAATTGACTCGCACGTTAGTTATATAGGAGGCCGGTGGGGGGGTCGACGTAAGAGGTGAAGAAAACTGAGGTCGCAAGAAAGAATTATGTTTTGCTTTGTCTATAATTATTTAATTGCAAAGCAATTCGTGTCCTCTGATTCAAACACTGAACCATTTATCAAACTTATTACACGCATCAAAGGCAACCTCCACTTTGCTGTAGTCACATTTTGCTGACATACTCGTTATTAACTTATTAGTTATTATTGTATAACCTTTTCCTTATACTACCTCCGTCCGGTTTGAATATTCCCGGTTTGACTTACACACATATTAAGGAAATAAACTTACCAGGGGTGAATTTTATTGTTTTGACACTGTTTCGACACTGTTTGGCACTGTTTCGACACTGTTTGACCTTGCTTTGATGTAGGATAACTTTCCGTTTAGGGAAATGGGAACTTTCCAACGGGACATTCAAAAAAGAAAAACGGGAACATTCCAACGGGACGAAGGGAGTATTTAATACTCTCTCCGTTTCCGTTCCTTTGACACACTTTCCTTTTTTGGATGTTTCAAAATGAATGTCACATTTCCTTATTTCCTTATTTGGTAAACAAATCTTTATCAAGACAGCGCAAAACAGTGTCAAACAGTGTACTCTACAGTAAAATTTACCTCTCGGTAACATTTTTTCCTTAATTCTTAACAAGTCAAACAAATGGAAACCAAGGGAGTACATATTTATATCTATAATTTTATATTTAATATATATGCATGCGCGGATTGGGTGAAGTTGAGTGGGGGCAGGTCGGGCAGCTACCCCCAACCCCCATGGTAGATTCGTCCCTATTCATATGGGCTAAGAAGGAACACATTATAACACAATACAAAAATAAATTAATAAATATGATTATCATTGTTTTATTTTTATGAAGATATGTATACCATTTAGGGGAACACCTAGTTTCAGTTTAAATATTTACTACATGTGGTCCATTAAAACTTAGAAGTGTTTGATTGATTCTACATAGGGAAAATAGCTCTATATATGAGTAAACTAATCCATAAATGCATAAATAGGGACCCTATTGTTTGTCTTCCCAAAATATAGATAGGACTAATGTGTACTCTATTTTCCTATTCTACCCATATCATAACATAATAGGAAAATCATATTTTAAATTGTAATAAAAAACATAAAAATCATAAAAAATATTTTAATTTATAAAAAATCGTAAAAATATATAAATAAAATGAAAAAAGGATAAACAAAATAAACAATAATTCCCCTGTATTTAAAAGTTTGCTACACTTTTCGTTTTGGATGTATTTATAAGTTTGCTACACTTTACTTTTTTGGTAAGTTTTTCTTTTAAAAATACTCAATTGTCATTACTTTTTCTACTTTTAATCTTATCTTTCCTACTTTTTCACCTCTTTCCTACTTTTACTGCATTATTCATTACCCCTATTATTTCCCCTTAAATTTTTACTTATAATATTTTGTCAAAACCTAATGTAGTGATCTTTTAAATACAGAGAGAGTACGGTGTGAGATAAGTACCCCAAACTTGCATATGTATTATATATACCTCTAGGAGTGGACTCGGGCTGGGCCAACCGGCCCGGAACCGGACCGGCCCGGTGAACCATTTGGTTGACCGGTTCGGGCCACCCGGTCCGGTGGGATGGCGGTTCGGGCTCGGGCCCTTCAAAAGGTGAACCGGCCCGGCCAGTTCGGGCCCGGGCCGGGCCAATTTATTATTTTTTTTTTTGAATTTTTTTTAAGTTTTTGGGTTGGGCTGGGTATTTTAGGCCATTTGAGATGGTTAGGGTTGGTTTGGGGGTGAGGGGGAGGGTTGGGGGTTAACTAGGAAAAGCCAAAAAAAATAGAACCGAGGCCCGGCCCGACCCGGACCCCGGGCCTCCCCTTCATGAACCGAGGCCCGGCCAGGCCCAGGCCCGAACCGGGCCCGAACCGAAACCGGTCCACCCCTATATACCTCAGACTTTATCTATAAAGTTATTTTCATGCCATGATTGTGTTTTTTAAAAAATACTCCGTATAAATTTATTGAAGTAATTACATAATTTAAAATACTCTAAACTTTGCTAGGGTGCACTTAACATTCTATACTTTCATTTGTGAAATAAATAAAATTACATACGGTACCATTTATTTATAATTACATCCTCATAAATGTTTTTTGTACTTTATATTATGTACTTGAGACCATAAAATAAAAAAATGTGATCATGGTGCTAACACAAGTTTTTATATTTTTTCTTTTTTGTTTTTTTTTATTTCTAAAGTTGTTTTTAATTTATAAATTTTTGTTTTTATTAATTTTATTTAAAATTTATTTTCGAGTTTCTTATTTTTTTACATTTTATGTTATTACTTTTATGTGTTAATTATTGATGAAATATGAATTGCATTAAAACAAAGTAATGGTAAGATTGAAAGTTTAGACCTATTTAGGAATTTTAAAATTTTACCCACATTCTTGCACTTAAAGTTTCACGCAGTCTTATTTGTGGAATTTTCCCTTCTACATACTAACTACTTCAATATATGGTAATTTTTTATATTAATTTAATATAATTATCTATGATACACTTAGTATTTTAAGCTTATCATCCTACACACCATTTAATTATTATTGTCATGTTTCTAGAGATATAGTTGCAAGTAGGGATGGATTCGGTTCGGGCCACTCGGCCCGGCCCGGAACTGTGCGGGTCCGGGACCGGCCTGGTCGGGCGGTCCGGGACCGGGTATGGACCCGAACCGATGGGAAGGGGCGGGGGCGGGCTCGGTTCTGGATTTTTGTGACCTGGCCCGACCGGGTCGGGCTCGGGCCCGGGTCCGGGTCTATTTTAAAAAAAAAAACTTTTTTTTGTTTGGTTTGGCTACTAGCCGTTGGGGGCTTGGGGGTGGGGGTGGGGACAACCCAAACGGCTATATAGCCGTTGGGTGGGGTAAAGGGGGGGGGTCCGGGGGGGTTGGCTTGTGGGGGTGGGGGGGGTGGGGGGTAAAAAAACCTATAAATACTCCTAATCTTAAACATTTTTCCATATCTCTTCTCCGATTCTTCCTAAATCCTATTCTTAACTAGGGGTGGACTCGGGCCGGGCCAACCGGTCCGGAACCGGACCGGACCGGCCCGCCACTGTGCGGGCCCGGACCAGCCCGGGAACCGGTTCATTGGCCGGTTCGGGCCACCCGGCCCGGTGGATTCTCGGTTCGGGCTCGGGCCCTTCAAAAGGTGAACCGGCCCGGCCGGTTCGGGCCCGGGCCGGGCCAATTTAATTTTATTTTTTTTGATTTTTTTTTTTTATTTTTTGGGTTGGGCTGGTTATTTTGGGCCATTTGAGGTGGTTAGGGTTGGTTTGGGGGTGAGGGGGAGGGGTGGGGGTTAACTAGGAAAAGCCCAAAAAAAAAATTACCCGAGGCCCGGCCCGGACCCGGGGGTTACCCGGGCCGGTTCCGGGCCTCCCCTTCTTGAACTGAGGCCCGGCCGGGCCCAGGCCCGAACCGGGCCCGAACCGGCCCGAGTCCACTCCTATTCTTAACTCTCTACTCTCTAATTCTCTTATTCTCCAATATATTATATTTATTATTTATATATCTACTTTATAGTTTATACTTAAGAAGTTAAGATGGAAAATCAAGATGCCATTATACGGTATAATTTTGATAAGCAGAAGGACCCGAAGAACGGGATGTGGTACGCAATTTGCAAATGGTGCGAGAAAAAATGTAACATGGGAGCTTCAGGCGGATTCGGAATGGCAATCAAGCATATGAAGTCATGTGACAAAGCCAAAGGATCGGGAGGTACGGGAAGTTCCGATTGATTACAATTTTCAAAATGTTTATCTCTTAAAGTTTGTTTTAATTTTCAAATGTAGTTCCTATTTCATTTCAAATAAATGCAATTGAAATTTGTTTTTAATACTCATATAAAACTATAAACTATAAAACATATATTATAAAAAAAATTAACTGGACCGGCCCGAACCGGACCCGACCCGTGACCCGGGCGGGTGGCCCGGGCCGAACCGGACCCGTCCAACCCTCGGGCCGGTCCCGGGCCCACTATTCTTGAACCGGCGGCCCGACCGGGCCTAGGCCCAGCCCGGGCCCGACCCGGCCCAAATCCATCCCTAGCTGCAAGTGACAATGACATTTAAGCATTTAACATACCATGATACGTATTTTCGTTCAATCTTTAAAACTTATCATATAAACACGTCTAGTCAATTTTCGATGCTAAATATAAAAATATAAAAATTGGTATTTCGATGATAGATTGATCGTTGATGCCTCAAATAACAGTCTGAGCTGTTAGCATCACCAGTTGTGGCAAACCTCATCAGGCTTGCAAGAAGGGTTGAAATAACAGTCTTCAAAGTATGATTGGAGGTCCCGAGTATAGAATATATGGATAAAAGGCTCTGGTAATGGGAGATAGGCAGCGAGGTGGGAGGAATGGGCATAAACCTCTTAATGAGGTCATTCGCTTCATAGCTGAGCCATTGGTTTTTACATTCTTCAACTGCCAGCCCCCTAGTATTGGTCAACTAGTATTAAATCAAAGGTCATATTGATAATTGATATTGATTATAGAAATAGCAAGGTGAAATCTTTGGGTTGAG